GTGCTGAAATGCTCTGAATCTGAATATGTTCCTGTCAAGGCCTAAGTCTTGCCAACAATTCATTCAGAGTAATGACTACTAAACTTAGATAGGATTATGTTCAGAACTTATTCTGTTATTTGCACAACTCCAATACGAAAAAGCGAAATTCCTAATAACTCATCATTGACATAACCAATCTTCCTGAGAGACATTTTCCTTCGGTCTTTTTACATCGTCCTGTTCCAATGAACCAGGTGAAACACATTGAAATCGAATCTCAACATCCAATAAGTATTTCTATGATTTTCCAAAAGGTATTAGTCACTATGATTTCAATCGTAATGCCACTGATACATTAAACTCGACATCTTTCCATAACTGCCATTGCACTCTTTCGATGTACTCAAACTTATGGAATGTCACTTAATGTACCCTGTTTTGAACAAATTTCTCCGAAGAAAAATATTCCAAACTACCTTTCGTCCTAAAATCATAGAACTTTACAAATTGGATGAACCAACCATAACATTTATTTGGCTTCTAACCCTCGACTTTCATAAGGTCATTTTTGTGATTTTAGCTACCAATTATAATTCGTAGGTCTGATAGTTTCATCCATTCCCAAAGAACCCATAAGTTCAATGGCTATCCACCTTTGAATTCTACTAACTCTAAAATCTCAAACACTAGATGCCAAGTAATGTAATGATTCATTTATTGAAGGACCTTTCTTCATATTGATTCTAGTCGATGTGTTATTTATTGCACTGTGAGATATTTTGGCTCCTTGAGTTTACAAATTGTTTAACCACATATCAAATGGATAAAACATCTCGTTTTTACCCATACACAATTTAGAAACTGAACACGAGTTTTTTTCTAAAACTTGGTACGAAAAGACAATTACTCAAAAACCAAAAAAATCTATTTAATAGATAACTCCCACTGCAATAGTTGCTACTTCCGTAGCTAGCCCATTCTAGATGGTAATCCAACCTTTACATAACGATTGGTTCACTGAAACCTTTTTACATAATTAGTGGTTACGTATCTATATACCAGACACTGATAGATAACACCACTTAAAATGTTTCGACTTCCCAGTGAATAAGATTTACCTTTCTTGTATTAAGGATAGGATAGTTCATCCTTCTATGTCTATTTCTCTTAAACCGGATACACATGCCATTCAGCTTGTATTCTTCAGCAAAACTAGACACTA